GACCTGGCCGCGGCAGAGGCGCCCGCCGCGGGCACGGTCGACACGGACAAGGCCACTTCGCTCCTCGGAGCCAAGGTGCGCGTGCGCCCGCCAGGAGCGTGATCATCCCTCTCCCGTCTCCAAAAGCCTGTACTACTCTCTTTCGCCCACAGGCTTGCGGCGTCAAGAACGACGTCAAGGACATCTCCGTGGCGACGTCTGGCACGGAGGACATCAGCCCGCCGTTTTGCCCTCAACCTTGGCCACAACTCTCTCTTCCTCAGTCGATGAAGGGCTGTCGGCTGGGGTGGGCGCTGTCGTGGCTACTTCTCCTCGACTCTGCGCAGCTGTGCGCCAGCTGGACGCCCGCTGAGGGCGCAAGCGTAAATGCCTTTGCCCGCAAGTACAGCCAGCCAAATTGCCGCGTCCTGGACGTCGGCGGCAGGGTCATCCAAGGCGGCCCGAGGAAGACGTTCGAGGCGCGAGGGTGCAACTACACCTCGATGGACATCGAGGCCCATTCGAGCGTCGACGTGGTGTACACGCCCGGCTCGCCCTTCCCGTTCTCGGACGGCGCTTTCGACGTGTCCATCACGGTGAGCACGTTCGAGCACGACCCCATGTTCTGGTTGACGATCCGCGAGATGGCCCGCATCACGCGGCTCGGCGGGCACGTCTTCTGCCTTACGCCGAGTACGGGGCAGTACCACGCGCACCCGGGCGACAATTACCGCTTCCTTCCCGATGCGGGAGCGGCGCTCGCGTTCTGGATAGGCCTCGACCTCCACGGGTTGCCGTCGTACCCGCTGCAGCTGCTCGACGTTTACTTGCTTCGCGGCACCCTACACGAGAGCTGCATGACGTTCCTTCGTACCACGGAGCCGGCGGTCGCGAGCACCCTGCCCGATCTCGGGATGCAGTGCGTAAAGGGCTCCCTGATGAGCGGCACCTGCCACAACATCACCCATGCAGTGGCCCACAACGCATACAACGAACATGGAAGGCCGCACCAGGGAGCTCAGCGGCTGGAGGGTCTTCGAGACTTTGTTGGGGCTCTCCCAACGGTCACGACGGGCAGCTCACCTGGCCGACGCGCGCCGCGCGCGCTACACATTGGAGGCGTGGGGCCCCAATCCGCAGAGGTGCATTCCGCGACAGCACTGCTGGCGGGTCATGGGTACGTGTTCGATCTGCGTGACGCGAGACTTGGCTCCGGTGGCCGTGGCAAACGCAGGCATGCCTCGCATGCTTACCAGATCCCGTCCCGCACGGGCGAGTTCGATCTGAGTGTGGCCATCTCGACCCTCGAGCATGACCCTCTCTGGTGGATGACCGTGCGGGAGATGGCGCGCGTCACCAAGGTGGGCGGGCATGTCTACGTGAGCGTCGTCAGCACAGGGCCGTACCAGCCCGCGCCTGGTGACGCGTTTCGCTTCATGGCCGACTCCCCTGCCGCGATCGCCTTCTGGACGGGCAGGCCACTGGGATCGGCTCCAGCGTATCCGCTCCGCGTACACAAGTCGAGGCTGCTAGAAGGGAAGCCGTACCACCAATTCAGCAACCCCACGGGGACAAGCACGCTGGAGATGGTCTTTGCGAGAGTGGAGGACCCGAGCTTATACTTCACATGCAAAGATGTGGCGAGGAAGGAGCGCGGGGGTGCCTGCTAGAGGCGCCCATGTAGCACGTCGGCGATGCCTTGACTTCGCCTGGGGTCCATGCCCGAAGCCCACCCTGTGAATGTAGAAGATAGCCATGGTTTGCATGGTTGGTCCAATTATAGTCGGGATTTAAAGCTCAATTGCACGCGCGCACAAACACCACTCATCCCGGGCGGGAAGGGAGGGACACACAAAACACACGAGCCAGCGCCAGTGGCGACCACGAGACTGCTGGCACGACGGTGATGGTAGGCAAGGGCGCCGAGCCCTAAAACGAACGCACAGACAAGCGAACGAATGAAATGGCGATAATGAATTAATGGAATAGAGAAAGCGGAGAAAGGAGTCTCGGGCACGACGCCACCGGGAACTAGAGCCGTAGCCGCGCCAACCGTCGTAATGCACTGTGTCGTATGAACAGAGAGCGTAGTAGAAACATTAGAGTTTACTTGGCGGCCCGCCCTGTCGGCGGTCGCACGAAGCCTCTCGCTCGTAGAGACCGCCGCCGAGTCCCAGCCCTGAAAACGCCGTGGACCTCCTTCGGCTGTGAAGAGCGCGGCCACAAGTCACAGGGCCCGCTCGTCCATGCGACCGGTAAAGGCTGGGTCAAAGGGCACAAGGGACAGTACTACGACGCGCTCCATGTCAAGAACGGAATCGTCAAAATTTGTCTCGTCGAAAGCCAGGGCGGCATCGCGCCGCCGACCAAGAGAATCATCTTCAACTTCGCCAAAGAGGTCGGCAGCCCGAGCGCCGTCGACCGCACCGACTACGGCACAGCCTCCGGCAGCGCCCGGGGCTTTGTCCAGCACCACTCGCAACAGCTCTCGCGCGCCGCCGTCTGTGGCGACTCGCAAAACATCAACAACGCTGCTCGCAACATGCGACAACAAACAAATGTCGCGCACTCATTCATGACCGGTAACAATTTGTGTCTCGCGCCTTGCGGGGGGGGAGCGGAAAGGAGGAACCTCTTCCCAAGAGCATCACTCTTGGAGCGCCGCCACTACCACCTGCGACGGTGTATCATTCACTTTATGCCACCGTTGCATATCCGGATATGCAACCACGGTGGCATAAAGTGAATGATACACCGTCGCAAAACTGCATTCCTGGGTCGTGCGGAGATGTATCCGGTTAGGGTTCCGGCGGATAGCAGGTGAACGCTAAGGTGGGTTTCGAACCAGTGACAACGCCCGTCTGGGTTTTTTGCGCCGAGTCGAACTGCGGGATTCGAACTCGAGACCCAATGCAGTTTTGCGACGGTGTATCATTCACTTTATGCCACCGTTGCATATCCGGGATATGCAACGGTGGCATAAAGTGAATGATACACCGTCGACCCAGAGCGCTGCAAGCAGCGCCGGGCAATGACGGCTTACCGCCCACCCAGCCCCCCCTCGGCACACCCCGGCAGCCAATGTGTGGACGGCTCGAACCCGCTAAGCCATCCATCCCGCAAGCGGGATGGCCCGCCACTCGAACCCGCAAGCGGGCGTACGAACCGCGAGCGGCTCGCACTCGTGACACGCAGGCGTCCGACAGACGGCGCCGGGGCTAGGCGACAAATCTCAATAAGAATTTAAACAAAAGAACTCTCTGATTGATTGATTGATGGGAAGGCGAAACACAGTCCGACCAACGACTGGGACACCAACGCGGTATGGGTGGACGCTAGACGGGCGATGACGGTCACACAGGAGCGGCACACAGAACCACAAGACAAGACACTCAGCCAAACTGACTGCCACACATCCTGAGCGAACTTCCCTAGTCACCCGCGGCCGGACTCCATCCGGCACGCGTCGCTGGGCGCTCAGAGCCGCGTCCCCTGCTCGCCACCCCGACGCCCCAAGGCGCCCGAGCGAACGACAGGCGGCTCCTCACAGCGGACAGGCTCGGAGATTCTAGATCCCGCCGTTGCAACTGCCTTGTCACGGCCGGTCGGCTGCAGCTCTCGCCTCGCTGGCGGCGCGGTCTGGTGCCGCGGCGCCCAGCTCTCCTGTGGGCTCGCGGCGGCTCGCCGCCGCGGTGCCGAACAATGTGATCAGTCTGGATTCGTCCCGGCGTGCCGCCGGTGCCGCTTCCTCGCCAATTTTTGGCTCGACCAGTTTGTCGACAAAACTGTGCCAGAGCCCCTGCTGCTCGACTGAGCGGCGGAGCCGGCCCGTCGCGGCCGAGAGGCGGTGCGCCGACACCGGGGCTACGGCTCGGGACCGTTTCCAGGCTCTCTCGAGCAACCTCAAATTTTGATGATTTCATGACCGCCACTTTGCTGCACACTTTGACCTCAACCCGCGGCCCGCTGCGCGGCTCTTCGAGCGCGAGAGGAGTCGTCTACGAGGCGGCGGCGAGCGCAGGCGGCGGCGGCGCGGCGGCGCGGCGGCGGATCGCGGCGCAGACAACGGCAGGAATCTGCGGCAGGCTGCTGCCTGCTGCTACAGCAGCTGCTGCTGCTGCTGCTGCTCCGCCGCTGCCGATTGTGGACACGATTCCCCCGATCACCCCGCCCGCCCGCTCCGCCCCGCCCGCCCGCCCCTCCCCGCTTGCCCGCCCGCCCGCCCGCCCGCCCGCCCGCCCGCCCGCCCGCCCGCCCGACCACCCATTCCCATCACCATCTCACATACCTTCATATAGGCGCTCGAGACCTCCTCTCGCTGCCTACTCGCTGCCTCGAGGGGGGAGGGGAAGACGTCGAGCTGAGCTTGCCTCGCTTGTACTGAGGCCCCTCCCCGAAAGGCAAGTATTAGACACATGAAACCTGAGACCCCTCCCCACCGCCCCGACCCCCCCACCCCCTTGCTCCCCTCCCTCTTAGGGAGGGCCGAACTGAG